TACCAATGAACTCCAAGTGTCTCTAATGTACAAAACCTACGACGATCTTTCTACACACTATATAATGAAGGCTACAAACAAACCTAATGATAATCAAGTGAACTCTAAACATACACACAACAGAGCAGGCCCACTCGTCCCTAGAACTGGCCGGCACCACAGCCGACACCGCGGCTTGCCGATCGAGGACCATGCGTGGTCGATCGTGCCGAAGAAGCGTCTCTCCTCTCTCTCTCTCTCCGCCTTGCCACGTTAATAGGCTCCTCCTCGGTGTCTGCGTCGACGTCTCCCGTAGTGTCCGAAACACTCGCCAATGCTGAAGCCTCTCTCAACGCCGCAATCTCTGCCTCGCCACGTTAATAGGCTCCTCCTCGGTGTCTGCGTCGACGTGTCCCGTAGTGTCCGAAACACTCGCCAATGCTGAAGCCTCTCTTAACGCCGCAATCTCCGCCTCGCCACGTTAATAGGCTCCTCCTCGGTGTCTGCGTCGACGTTTCCCGTAGTGTCCGCAACACTCGCCAATGCTGAAGCCTCTCTCAACGCCGCAATCTCGGCCTCATGGGCTGCCATACGAGCCCCTATCTCCGCCAATGACTCATGACGTCTCTCCCCCACGCGCATAGGCAAAGCCTTCTCGCCAAAGGTGTACGCCCCGCTCCGCACTCCGGCCTTTGGGGCGGCTGGTATGCGGAGATCTCGCATCCTCTTCGAAAGTCCCACTCCCAAAATGCGACACGAGGTGACTATCTTGGGTCGGCCATCATTGCCCCCTCTATCACCCTCGACCTGTCCTCCCTCCTCTCCCTCTCTCTCTGCCATGGCTCTCTCCTGTGTCTCTCCTCTCAGCGTCGTGCCTCAATCGCAGCAACCTCTCTCCTAAGCTTCTCATCCACTCTTCGCACAGTCGACCAAGGACGGTGGTCAGACTGCCGGATATCCTGCCGTGAAGGTGCCAACGAGGCAGGCAAGTATCCTTTCCCAACAACACTCCGTGGTGTCAGATGCCGGGCAACTGTCTGTGCACTGGGCGTGGCGAGTGCCGGTGGACGCATATGACTGTGAGCAGCTCATCGCTCCTCTCTAATCCTCGCCGACTCCGCCTCCTCACGCTCCAAACTCACGGGGGATCCTGAATATAAAGGGCTGACAGGGGTATAAGATGGCATCGATGCGTCACGGATACCAGTACATCCGTCACGGCCTATAGGGGTCCCTTGCAGCGGATCCTCGTGTCCCGCCGTCTCCTCCTCGTGTCTAGCTACCACCTGCGTGTCCGAGATTGAACGTCCCGCCCTCTCCTCCTCGTATCCAGCTAACACCAGCTCTACCTCCGCACCTGCAGGTGCCATAAGTCCCAGTACAACGTCACGCACAACATCCGACTCCGAGTCCATCGCGCCTAAACCTCCTGCCTCTGAGGTAAGACGAGCCTCGGAGGGAGGCAACCCCCATGGTACAGGAGGCGCTGCTGACACACATGGAACATCAACATGTCCAGTAACGGTCGGGGATGGCGAGAGAGTGGCATGGTGTGTCGTAGCAGTAGGCGATGCAGACACAAGTGGATCATCAGCACAACCCCCACCCGAAGGCTGCACGGCAGCATCCGGTCCAATCAAACCCTCCACGCTGTCATCATCGTCACCTGCACCAATGGTCTCCAACCATCTCATGCGCTCCGCCTCCACCAAAAAAAACGCCCTCCCTGCCCACTGCATCCGAGACAAACGCCTCTCGTCCTCGGCGTCAATGCGCGCATCACGCTCTGCCTCGGTCTCCTTCTTCTGCGTGTCACGGGGACAGTAGTCCGCCATATCTCTCACTCGAACGTGCTGACCTCTGCCAATGCCGTCACCAGACGTGCCCTCCCCACCCACCATGAAGTTCCTTGTCCGCAAGTCCGAAGGCATGTCCTGTGATGTGTGTGTGTGAATAGGAGTGTGTTGGTCAAACCGCTCACGCTCCACCGTATCACACTGTATCTCCTCTAGGTGCTGCGAACAACTGGTCTCTATCTGCGTGGCTTTGCTGTCCCGGCCAACCAGCCTCTCCGACCGTCTATGAGGCTGAGCGTCTCTCCCCACCTCAGGCGCCGACGAATGACATGGACGCAACAAAGCCTCGTCATCCTCCACTGCCTTCTCATCGTCGGTGGTGTCAACATCGAACACCCTCCTCGATTGTGTGGCACCTCTAGTGCCTTTCGTCCCCGCGCCACGTCCGGTGCCATGACGTGTGTCAAATGTACCTCGTGGAGGGTCATCGTCTGCTTTGATGAGCGTGGTATGAGGTTGTGCTCTGTTGTTATGTCCTCCCTATGCAAAGTAGACTCTCTCTAGTCTCTTGTCTGCACAACATGCGATCTTCTCGGGGTCGGTCCAGTCCTCATTGCCATCAATGGCGTCGTCGCGTGCAGGCCAAGCCACGTCATCCGCAACCTCCTCCTCCGGCACCTCCGCCTCGTACGGGAGGAGCACCGCGGCTCTCGCACCAAACACCTATGACACTGGACGAGGCCGACGACTACCTAGCTGTTGTAATCGGCGTCTAGTCGACGTCAACTCCTCCTCCGTCACAGATGCGCAGGGTCGCGCTCTCCATACCAAGGGCTTGGGCTCGTCGTCAACAGGTACCTCATCCAGGGCGTCCAAGTGTCCCCACGGAAGAACGTAACCCGTAGATGACTCAGAACACTCCAACAGTTAGAGATTGGTGGCAATCTCAACCAACTGAGCAACCTTTGTGAACTCTAACCTGTTACGCCTAGCCGTTGTGAGGGTACCCGAGGAGGGGCTACCTACCGTTCGTTGAAGCCATGGGCTACGGCGCCTGTCACTTCGCCGCGCCCGCTTCCGAGGTCCTCGGCGACCAGTAGGGACGATATCCACAAGTTTACAGAAATTGGTTTTAGGAAATAAACAGCAATAGTAAATAAATAAAAGAATAGCAAAGTCAAAACTAGAATCCTCTCTCAATCTGTCTCTCACTGTGTGTGTGTGTGTGTGTGTGTGTGTGTGTGCGTGCGTGTCTGCTTGTGTGTGTGTTATGTGTGGGCGCACTTCTACCACTACGGTGCCTTGCTTCAGAGTTCGGAACTTCCAACTTCCTCAAAAGACCGCTGTATCACTGTCCCCTTCTCCTTGCGTGAACCTGCTCTCTCTTTGTCTCTCTCTCTCTCTCTCTCTCTCTCTCTCTCTCTGTCTGCCTCAGTCCCTGTCCCCCTCTCTCTGCGTGAGTCTGTTCTCTCTCTCTCTCTCTGTTTGCCTCAGTCCCTGTCCCCCTCTCTCTGAGTGAGTCTGTTCTCTC